GCCCGGCGCCTCGGGTGCGGTGCAGGGGCTGTACGGCGACTGCTGCGGTGCGCGGCGTTGAGTGCTGCATGGTGGGACCCTTGGGAACCCAGCAGTGCCGCCTGCTGCTGGACTATAAGGGTTCTAGCGTTGTTTTCTTATTCCTAGCAATTCGGAAAAGAAGCTTTTCCTTTCATATGATGTATGAAGTATGATATCATTTGCTGCAGTTAGGCCTTGGATTTTGGAATCCGATGCAGGAAGGTGTCATGCAGAGCAATGCGGTAGGATTTGAAGAGATGGGGGTTGTTAATCGGTGTTGTGACGGAATGCAATTCTGTTTAGAACCTGCACTTGCATCGGGAGCCATGTGGTCAGCTGATGAAATTGCTGAGCTATGTTACCTGCACTATAGGACCAGACTCCCTAAGCAGGGGAAACCAGATCCAAACAGGGAATGGACTTCTCTGGCAGCTGTTGTCAAAGTGGAGTCTGCAACCCAAAGAGAGGTTCTTGCTAGTCCAGGGAATCTGCAGGGTAAGAATGAGTTGTGGGGACTGGGGTGGGAGTGGGGGAAGCGGGGAGAGAAGGTGGCAGTCCTCGATGCTTTTTTTCAAGGTACCTTTTAAAAACAAACAAACAAACGTACACCACTTCATGTCCTATTTCTGTCTCCACCCAAATTCTTTACTCTTTGTGATCATAAAATCTTTTACAGCTTCTGTCTGGAAGGAGGTGGTTATAGCGCAGTGGTGCTCTTCCCAGACTGTGAGGAGATGAAAGCTTCCATTTGTATGTTCAATAAGTGGCAAAAGTCTAGGCAGGACTTGAATTCCTAATGTAAACCCTTGCAAAAGTGTGTTCGGCTACTATTTGAAAGAATGCTAGAAAGGTCTCGGTTCCCTGTCCTGTAACAAACTGCATTATTACGTTGTGCGTTTGTGTTAGTTCACCATCATCTTCTCCCTTACTGGCACTTCCATGTCATGCGGGTTGTATCCCATGCGTCTTTCTTACATACTTGAGGTATCCTATGCCAGTGTCCGCTGTGTGTTGTCTAGCATATCAAGCCTGTGTTAGCACTTCTGCTATGCAATTAGAGACTTTTCCTAGCACTGGTGCTTCTGCGTGCTATGTTCAGTTCTCGGGCTGGTACTGTTTCCTTTCTGGAATGGTCTGCCTCCCTGTACCTTCCCTTCTGCACAATGTTCTGTGTGTTGTCTTACCAGAATGACTGTATGAGAGCAATGCTTCTGATGATAGTTTGTTCTGTTAATGTTGTTTCTTTTTTCAGTAACGAAGGAAGTTGTTGCTATGGGAACTGGAACAAAATGCATTGGCCAAAACAAAATGAGAAAAACTGGTAAGCATGATATAAAATCCAGGAACAGACTACCTATGCTACCTTCGTTCTTGCTGGTGTCATAGAACTGTTGAAAATATCCAAGGCATTGAGCTCAGACTTCTGGATTGAAGCCAGAAGTGTAAGGCATACCTCACCTCATCAAGAAGGGAGGGCTTAGGCAGCCAGAATGACTTCCCTGAAAGTTTGCTGCACTTGCTGCCTTAAAGGTCAATAGACTTTTCATATGAGGAAACGTGTAGTTTAGACCCTGAGTCCGCATACCCAAAGTTTTCATTACTAAAAGCAAAACAAACAAGCAAAATAATTGTGTTTCAGTCACTTGTTAGTCTAGTTTTATTGTGGTTTGATGCAAAAGATCCCACTGCTGAGTTAGAGTAGAGGTGACACTGGAAAGGTGCTAATAGGCTTTTTCTCCCTCTCTATGTATTCTGCAGCTAGATAGTTTGAAGTGTTTGTATAATAAATATATGGGGTAGGTACATGACTTCTCACAGCTACCATTTCTTACCATTTATTGTAGGACTTAACTTGGTCTACATGTCCTTTTTTTTTTAATTCAGACTGTATCTGTCCCCTCTCCTAGGTGGAGGGGAGAAGCCATAGTAATTAATGCTGGAAAGTGACTAAGGAGAAAAAATGTTTGTGAACATGTAGGTACAGGGTTTTCTGCCCTCTTTAGACTTCAGAGGAGGAGTAGAGCAAGATAGGAGAAATAGTTTTGCATGCATCAGTTTTAGGCTGTTTTGTTCTGTATAATGTCCTTCATATTGAAGTAGTGGAGGAAAAGAGAAGAAACTAAATTCTGTCTCTTAGATTTTTGTGGACGTTTTGTATGGCTTAGTGATTTTAGAAGAGTGTTAGTATTTTTTCTGTTTGACTTAGGAAAATTGTGATTAAACTGTTGTACTGCTTACAGTCTAGGTATTAAAAGTCAAAGTAGAAATTTGACTAGAAAAAAGTAAAACTAGTTTCTCTCTCTGTTTGTCTCTAGTGATCTCAAGTTTATGAAGTATTTTCCTCTTGTGATAACATTATTTTTAAATTAACTTGGTTGGTAGGTCATGTTAATGGTTGTCTGTTAGAGAACTTTTAAACTGTTCAAGAGGACTTTAATCACCTGGCCTGTTATTCCTGAAATAAAAGCTGATCTACAGATCCTGTTCCTTTAGATACTGCAATAGGCAGATACTACTAGAAGTTTGAAGATGACGTGTGTAAACCTGGTAAATATCAGAATTATTTACAAGAAAAGTAATTTAAATTGCAGGACATAGTGCAAAAAGAAACTTCAACCAAAAGCTTAGCAAACACTTGAAATCTTCTAACGTTGTGCTTAATCTGAGACTATCAAATTTTACTATTAAGAACAAACATCAGGAAGTAAGCCAGT